AAAATTAATTTTTTAAAAAAGTTGTAATCAACCTAAAAAAAATTTCATTTTGAAAAAATTATTAAATTCTACAAATTTATTCTAGGAAATCTGTTTATATTTGCAAAACTAGCTCCTAAACATTGATGCTCTAGACCCTAATCTTCATCCTTCCTCAATCAACAACTTTGTTTTCATAATTGTTTCATTTAACTCCAGGGGGAACAACTGTATGCATTGAAGTCACACTCTCATTGTAATTTACATTCTCTAAACACCAAACCAAGTGGCATCAAGTCCATTCCAACTCATGGTGACCTCAGATGGTTAGAGCAGAACCGTGTGCCAAGATCTGCTTTGTTTGGCAGAGGAGACTGCCAGGTATGTCTTCTAAAATGACTTGGAGTGGAACTGGAATGCCAGATTTTCAGTTCGCAGTGGAGAGGTGTAAACATTTGCACCATCACTTTTTTTCATTTGTTTTCAGTCCTAGTAATAATTCATACTGAAATGCACTGGTGTCCAGTTGGAATCAACTCACAGTCATACCCCTCAGTGTGTTTCTGAGCCTGTGAGTCACGTGGGGGGAGATTCTCGAGCTCTGCACTGCGGAGCTGCTGGTGGACCAGAACCAGGAGAGAAGCCCTGTCTTGAGTTATCAGCACGACTTCCTGAGCACCATGTCACCAGAGCTCATGCTATTAATAATACGGGGGAGACTGCAGGGGGGGGGGACAGTCCTTCAGTGGTTTGGACTACCTTGCTCTCACCAATACTACCTTACCCTCCTCTTTCTGGTTTTTGTTGTGTGTTTTTTTTTTTTAAAAAAAAGTCAAGAGGCAAACAGGCAGTATGTAGTTACCAGATCACCATCAAAAAAATGCTATGCTTATCATTCCTTTCTTTCACCTCCACCCACATCACAGAGACAGTTTCAACAATAAGATAGAGTATAAAGACTGAAATATGAAATTATGAAGGCAAGGAAAAAAGAAACTAAAATAATTCAGGGAAAACTTCTAAACCTTCCTGGGACAGACTCAAGCTGCCATATGACCTCATCCTAAAGTGATACTAATTTAAATATAGATTCTGGTAAGTAAAATGATCCTGAGGCTAAATTAGATCATACTTGTGACATCTGAAGGCAGGTAATGGTCAATCTATGTGAGCTTACATTGAAGAAGGATTTTTCCTTCATGCTACACACTCCACATTTTTTCTCTCTTGGGTTCTTCAACAAAGAATACATTTTTGTTCCTTCTAACTTTACCTCAGATTGACTGACTATATGGTATCATTGAATACTTTAAGTTAAAGCAAAACACAGACATGCACATCTATTTATATTTGGAGATTAGTGCACATTACTAGCACAATTCTCAGCAAATCGAAAACCAAGCCTACTTCGACTGAGCAGATTCCAACTTAGAGTGACTTGCAGGACAGAGTTGAATTGCCCACTGAGTTCTAAGGCCACATGCTTTATGGCAACAGACTGCTCTGTCCTTCTCCCTGACAATGGCAGATGGGCTCAAACTGCAAACTTTCCAGTTAGCAGTTCAATGTTTAAATAATGGACAACCAAGACTCCTGAATTCTCAGCAAAGGAAAGAAATGAAAAAGCATTTTGGTAATGGACTAATTGAATACTTCTAAAAGTAAGTTTGTTTATACCATAGAAGGGCAACCATTTTTCATTGAAGATGAATTGACAGTATCACTTAATAGAGTTATTAAGTAAAGCTCAAAGTTTTTAATAGCTCTTTTTTTCTTTCTATCCTCTAATTATTTTGGATTTTAGCCATAGTCTATATTTCAACATGAAACCAGAACTCACAGAATAGAAAAACATATTTTAAAATCATATATCAGATAGGGACCCTGTGTCCAGAAGGGAGTTCTGATGGCTTAGTGGTTAAGAAGCTGTGCTGCAATCCCAAAGGCATGCAGTTCGAATGCACCGGCTGCTCTAAGGGAGAAGGATGGGCCATCTCCTCCAGTGAGATTAGCTGCCTCTGAAAACACACTGGATGGTCACCTATGATTCAATTCTGACTACATGGTACACAACAACAACAATCCATAATACATAAAGATCTCTTAAAGCTCTGTAACTTTTTAAAAGATCTCCTATTTAATTGGGCAGTAAATTTAAACAGACACCACCCCAAGAAGATATATGAGTATCTAACAACTACATGAAAAGATGTTAAACATGGTTAATCATTAACAAAAAAATTTTTGTTTTCCAGTGGATTCTGAGTCACAGTGACTCCATGAGTAACAGAACAGAAATGTCCCCTAAGGTTCTCTTACCACTTCTGAAGAGTAGCTTCTAAATGAAGGCAATGCTTCACTGGGTTTCCAAGAATGTAACTCTTAAGAGGAGGAGATGGATTTAGATTTCTCTTGGGACATGGCTGGTGGATTCCAACTGTGACCTTTCAGTTAGCAGATCAGCCTGTTGTGCAACCAGGGTGCCTTGTTATTGTTGTTGTTGTTATATGCCATCGAGTCGCTTGCGATTCATAGCAACCCTATATACAAGAGCTCTAAATGTTTTCTATCCTATGCCAACCTAGCCATCTCAAACGCACTTATTCCCACTGCTCTAGTCACAGAATCGATCCATCTCACCAAAGGTCTCCCTCTCCTTCGCCGCCCCTCCACTCTGCCAAACACGATGTCCCTTTCCAAGGACCAGTCCCTCCTTGCAACATGCCCAAAATATGTCAGACGAAGCTTCAGAATCCTTGACTCCAGGGAACATTCTGGCTTCACCCTCTCCAAGACAAACCTGTTTATTCTCCTAGCAGTTCATGGTATATTCAACACTCTTCTCCAGCACCACAGCTCAAAGGCATCAATCCTCTTTCTATTAGCCCTATTCACTGTCCAACTCTCTGATGCATAGCACATAATTGCGAAGACTACAGCCGAGATCAGGCGCACCTTAGTCTCCAGCCTGACATCGTTGCTCTTCAGTATTCTTGAGAGGTCCCTCACAGCCGACTTTCCCAATGCAATTCATCTCCTGATTTCCTGGCTGCTGTTACCAAGAGCATTGACTGTGGAGCCAAGTAAATTAAAACTGTTAACTATCTCAATCTCTTCACCATCCATGCTGATGCTGCCAATTGGCCCAGTGGTTAGAATCTTTGTTTTCTTGACATTTAGCTTCATTCCATATAGGAGGCTGTAGTCCTTGATCTTCTGCAGCAAGCGCCTCAGGTCCTCCTCAGTTTCAGCAAGCAGAGTTGTGTCATCTGCATAACACAGGTTGTTGATGATTCTTCCACCAATCCTGATGCCACATTCCTCTTCGTATAGCCCAAGGTCTTGGATGATCTGTTCTCCTTAGCTACACCCTTTACAGGAGCAGGTGACCACGCCTTTGTTCTGCTGACCTGATGGGTGGCTTCAAACCTCTAACATTCAGGTTAGTTCAAAATAAAAATAACAACAAAAACAAAAAACCCTCACTCACATCAAAAACTCAAACTCAATGCCATCTGTCAGAACAAACTCATAGAGGACTCTCCTTTGGGTTTTTGAGGCTATACATTGCACAGGAGGCGACTGGACATGGTTCCCTCTAGAGGAAGTTTGTGGATTCAAGAAGTGCGGCCGTTAGGTTAGCTGTGCAGACCCCTATGGGTAATATTGGGCAAGTTCTCCAAGCTCAGCCACTCCGTTTGGTGTCAAGGAAATACATGCAAGTAAAAAAAAAAAAAAAATCACAATGTGATACTACTTTTGCCCTCATTAGACCAACCATAATTTTTTAAAAATGCAAATAGTAGTGAGAATGTGATGAGACTAGAATCTTTATACATTGCTTGCAAAAATTTAAAAGGATATAGCTACTCAGAAAAAGCTTGCCCATTTCTTAAAAAGCTAAACAGTCATTTCACTCCTAGACAATGAAAGTTTATGTTCATACAGAAAGTTGTACATGAACACTGACATCAGCATTATTCTAAAGAGTCAGTAAATGGAAACAATCTAAATGTTTGTAAACTAATGAACGGATACCATAGAGCCATACAATGAAATGTTATCTAGCAATAAAAAGGAAATAATGGATTGGCACTATAACTCATCAAACATCATGCTAAAAGAACCAGTCACTAAGGACCAAAGGCTGTGTGATTCCATTCACAACAAATGCCCAAAACAAATTGATAAAGTATGTTAGTGACT